AAACACATTTGCAACGTACTGATATGAGCCATGCGTGAGCTTGCCGTTTTTCATACGTGTCAGCAGCAAGTGAAGAACACTTTGACGCTGTTCATGAGTCAAGTTCTTCTTCGGAGAGGCGCGCATTTTGAAAGTACCCGCGATGTTGGCGGTCAAATCGTAACCGGAAATCCGGATAACGCGATTTATATGAAACAAAGTATTGAAAGTTTGAAATTCATTTTCGTGCTTCGATTGGCTGTGTTTTGGAGGGAAACAATCTCATGCGGTAAAATTTCGTCTCTTCTATCCGTACATACCCTTTTTTCCTGAAAATTCGAAAATTTGGAGAAGAATTTCGAAAATTGCTGAATGTTTAATTTATTTCCGGATGGAGGTAGTATTTGTATACTCGAAACTGATCAAAACTGTATTTTTATTCAATTTTGTACTTTCACGACAAAGGTAAACATGATGTGATTCATTCTTAGGCGTCGGCATCAGTGCTCATAACATCAACCATTGTGCAGAGTTGATCAAATTTGGACATATTGATCGAATCCTCAAGCGAATACGTCGCTTAAGCACACTCGATAGGTTATCTACTCTACGCTCAAAGTCTATTCGGCCATTCATGGCTTCGATGGCAGAAACTAAATCTGGGTCACATTCCAAGCAGGGGCTCACGGGTTCGTGCCTTGCTAGCTTGTCCTAAATGTGTAAATGGGGCGATTTGTACGAGTTGTCCCCGTCCATCTTCAACGACTCCTCCATGACCTTTTGGAGGGTCATGATGGTCTTGCCCAGCACACGAAAATCAAGCTCGTCGAATGCACATTGGACCGCCTCGATCAGCTCGTCAATGCCAGTGACAACCTGTCAGTGCTGCAGTGCTTGAATAGAGTAAAAAACCCTAAGTCCAGAACATTGAAGTCCGGGCTCATGGGGGGCTGAGCAACCAGTAGGATCTGCCATCCGTCGGAACAACCCGCAGCGACCATAGCACGATCGCCCACATGCAGCAACAGGAAGTCCCGATAGATTGGCTTGGTCACAGTCGTTGGTGATGTGACCATAGTACCACGCACTCGTTTATTGCTTGTTCTTCGTGCAGGCATCTTGGTGACGAACGGCCACATCCCGATCTTGCCGTCCCATGTGGTTTTCCTTGCGCTGTCGTACCGAGGGCGTGCCACCGCCGTTTGAAACATGACCTTGACGATATGCCGTTTGGACGAACAATTGCGCACGGGTATGGGCTCGTCGTGCCAGAGGTAGTAGCGACGGTTGACCAACGTGACCTAAAACCACTTCTCGTCTATGTAGACGCAATCCAGCATGTCTTGCCAGTGCATTTGTGTTCGAGCCTCGCGAAGAAATGAACGAGCAAAAACAGCGCGGGCAGCCTTGTGTGTATCGGTTAGAAAGGGCTTGATACGGCTGGTTCGTCGCTTCAGTTTCTTGGACTTAAGAAGCCACCAGAGAGTAGTTTTGTGGTTGCCGCTGGCAGAAGCCAACTTCGCTAGAGACCTGAGCAAGTGAGGTGCGACGTTCTTGATTGCTGCCTCTAGTTCTGCCAACAGCGTGTAGGCGGCCTGCCCGAACGTCCTTTCTTCCGGCGAGCAACGTTAGCAAGACCGGTGAGAGCCTTGGTATCTTGTCCACGCGCCAGATCTTCGACAAGGTTTGTCTAGACACGCCGTACTTCTGTTGCAGCTCCTGTGCTTTGCGGTGGGGAAGGCGCCCATCAAATTTGAGCTCCAGGAGCTCGTGGTACAAACGGACTCGGTCGTCGTCAGATACGTCGTGGGTGGTTGCGGGACGTGGCAGGTCCGTAACTTCACTTCCAGAAAGTTTTTCTGGTTCTGAGGGGTGCTAACCACATCTACGCTTCAAGGCCAGTCGTTTGCGCTTGATTTGACGAAGTTACAGGTGTTTTTTCGATTGGCTGAGTGTTTCACAAAAGTTTAGCGATTGGTTTTGATGTGAGATGGAGCAATAATTAAAATCTAAAAATATTGTTGCGTCAGTTCAAAACTAGACTGCTGCGTCAATAATTTTGAAGCAGCACGATTGAAGCAATTTCTGACGCAATACAAACATCAAATGAAACGAATCCACGTGTTCCTTACGTGTTTCGAAACCAAACAGCCTCAACCACGAAAGTCGCAGTGCACACAGAGCACACTCATGACAAGCGCCGACGACAACGATCTCGAAGCGCTTGTGGGTATTGGCCACTTGTTCAACTTCCGGCTTGTTCC